GAGACCCCCAGACACCACACAGGGAGCGGCGCGCCGGCAGCTCACGCCTGTCATCCCAGCTCCTCAGGAGGCTGAGATGGGAGGATCACGGTTCCAAGCCAGCCAGGGCAGGAAAGTCCGTGAGACTCTGATCAACAATAAACCACTAGAAAACCGGAAGTGGCGCTGGGGCTCAAGCGGTAGAGTGCTCGCCTTGAGCGCCCAGGCCCAGAGTTCAAGCCCCTCGGCCGACCAACCAACAAACAACAAGAAGACGCCATGCAGCGACCCCAGCTGCCTCCAAAGAGCCGACGGCCGCCCACCCGCCCGCCTGGACGCACCCAGCACGCTGAGCTGCACCACTTTCTGGTCCCGGCCTGCGGCATTGAGGGCATCACACAGGTACCGGCCGGCGTCCGCCCGCTGCACCCGCGCCATCCGCAGCGTGTGTGTGCCTGCATGAGGCACGGGCACCTCGCACCAGCAGCGGCCTGGCTCCGAGGCCCCCTCCCCACACAGCCTGCAGACTCAGTTTACCCACCAGGCAGGAGGAAAACCTCTTCACCCAGGGGGACGGCCTGGCCGTCCCTGTACCAGGTGACCTCGGGGGCAGGGTGGGCGTGGACCTGGCACGCCAGGGAGACGCTGCTGTTGACCAGGGCGCTGACCTGCTCCGGGTTCTGGCCGGTGATCCGCGGTGGCACTGGATAAAGGAGGGCGGAAGCAAGCTCGAGGATGGGGAGCAGAGGGCCAGGGGGGACGCCAGGGGCCTTTGCTCAGCTCCTGGAGCTTGGAGATCAGAGCGGGAGCGCCAGGCTTGCGGCGTCACACAGCACCGCGCTACACAGCGCGGGCAGCGGCTCATGCCCAGCCTACGATTATCCCCCTATCTGAGCTCGTAAACATGTGAAGATCAAGAGCACAGACCGGGGGTGTCGGGAGGGGGGCAGACCCGGCCCCCTCCACACAGGAGGCCCACGTCTGGGGGCCGGCAGTCAGGAACGCGGTAAACGCTCAACGATGGTGCTCTGAGGCCTGGGCATGGCTGCCCTCCCCCCCTGCTGGGGGGGGCCCCCGAGGGTTGGGGTCCCCGAGGGCTGCCCTCCCCCCCTGCTGGGGGTGGCCCCTGAGGGTTGGGGTCCCCGAGGGCTGCCCTCCCCCCCCGCTGGGAGGGGCCCCCGAGGGTTGGGGTCCCCGAGGGCTGCCCGTGGGACCCCGCCGCACCGCCGCTCTGCCGCTCACCTTGGACGCGAAGGGTGAAGAGCTTCTCTGCGGAGCCGGCCTGGTTCTCGGCCACGCACATGTAGCCGCCGGCGTCCGCCACGTCTGCCGTGGAGACCTGGGGGGGCGGGGCGTGAGGCTGGGGTGCGGCTGGGCGCCGGGGGGCGCGGCGGCCCCTGACCCCACAGCCTGTAGCGGACACGGGCCATTCGCCCGTGGTCTGGCCGAGGGACCGTCCCGTGTGACTGCGTCCACTGAGACCCCGGGGCGCCCGCGCGGGGCGGGGCCAGCCTCACCTGTAAGACCCGCCCTTCCTCCAGGACCTGGAGCTGCGGGCTCGGGGAGACAGGCAGCCCGTTCTGGAGCCAGGAGATGGTGGGAGCCGGGTTGCCCAGGGCCGGGCACTGCAGACGGACGGTGCTGCTGGCATTGACGGTCACCTCCTCCACCAGCTCCTCCGTGTCACCCAGGATGACGGGCGGCGCTGGGGGGTGGAGAGGAGGGGGTGAGGAACAGCCCGGGGCCTGGCTGGCTGCCCGGGTGGCGTGAGGCCGGCCCTCCGTGCCAGGCACGGGCGGGAGGTCCTTGAGCCTGGCCTGGATGCAGCCAAGGAATGCGGGTGAACAGAGAGGGTTCTGGTTTGCTCAAGGCCACAGAGCGAAGAGGGGACCAACTTGAAATCTGAAGCCACTTCCTCCTGGCCAGGCTTGCCACCCCCTTAGGAGCCTTGGAGTGTGCGAGCTGCAAGGGCTGCCCCTCGGCCGCTGCGCCTGCCCTGTCCCCCCGGCCGGCCACTCACTCAGCACCAGCAGCTCGAAGTGCATCCAGTCCTCGCCCACCTCGTTGGAGGCCTTGCACGAGTACCTCCCGGCATCCTCCGCCCGCGCCAGGGGTATCTGCAGGACCCGGCCTCCTGCAGGGACACAGGACAGGGGCCGAGGCTCGGGGACAAGAGCCCCAGCCCAGCCAGGGAGCACATGCCTGTAATACCAGCACTCAGGAGTCTCAGGTCGGCCTGAGTTGCATGGGAAGACGATCAAAAACACCCAACAGAGCCAAGAACGGAAGCATTCCTTCCTCCAATGTGAGGAACCTGCTCTTCTCAGTCCCGGACACAGTGCCGTGGTCAGTGTGGTCAGTGCGGCTGACCGCTCCGCCCGGCTGGCTCACGGATCAAGGGGAGGCCAAGTCCTGGGCAAGCGCAGTTCAGTCTGTGTGCCCATCCCAGCCAAGGCTCAGAGTGGTCACTCTCCTGCCCAAGGCTGCCCAGCAGGCAGCAGAGAGACAGAGAGTAGCGAGAGAGCGGGAGAGAGCGTGCGAGCGCGCCAAGTGCCCACCTTGCAGCACAGAGACGCCGTCAGCGGCCGCGAGAGGCCGTCCCTCCCGGTGCCAGGTGAGCTGGGGTGGCGGGACCGCATTGGTGTCGCAGTACAGATAGGCCGGGTGGTTCTCAATGACCTCCCGGAATTCCGTCACCTCGCCCCGGGCCTCCTCTTCCTCCTGGGACAGGGCCTCAAGGTCTGCACCGGCCTCGCTCACCTTCTGGAACATGGGGGGCACTGGCGGGGGGGGCGGGGGGGCCATTAGGGAACTCAGGGAAGGCGGAGGCTGTGGACTACCACACTGGACTAGAAGCAGCAACATCATCCGAGACCTTCCCTTCCATCCTTCGTGTTTCCTTTCCTTCCTCCTTCCCTCCCTCTCCTCCTCCTCCTCCTCCCTTCCTCTCCCCCCAACCTCTCTCTCAGGCTCACACCATTTTTCATTGTTTTTTTTTTTTTTGTCGGTCGTGGGGCTTGAACTCTGGGCCTGGGCGCTGTCCCTCAGCTCTTCAGCTCCAGGCGAGCGCTCTACCACTTGAGCCACAGCGCCACTTCCGGTTTTCTGGTGGTTTATTGGAGATAGGAGTCTCACGGTCTCTCCTGCCCGGGCTGGCTTTGAACCGTGATCCTCAGATCTCAGCCTCCAGAGTAGCTGGGATTACAGGCGTGAGCCACCAGCGCCCGGCGTTCATTGGTTATTTTTAAGATAGGCTCTCATTTCCCACCGGGCCATGTGTCTGAACTGTGATCCGCCTATTTTCAGCCTTCCCAGCGTCAGTTTAGCTGGAATCACAGCACCTGCCACTGTGCCTGACCTTGCATGTGGAAATGGGAGCTGTGCAGACTTTTCTGCCCAAGCTGGCCTCAAATCCCAGTCCTCCTGGTCTCAGCCTCCCAAGTGGCTGAGATTACAGGCGTAAGCCTCCGTGCCCACCCCAAGGCACTTCTCACACCCCCCCCCAGGGTACGTGGCGTTTACTGAGCGATTGCCAGGGAACTTCTGGGAGGGTCTCCTGCCCCAAGAGTGGTGGCACAGATTGGACCTGCCCTGGTTTACGAGGGCACAGAGGCACACAACCATCAGCCGCCAGACTCGCAAGGTCCAAGGTCACCTGCAAGGCTAAGGCTCGGAGGGGGCGGTGTCCCTCCCCGGCCACGCAGCCCATCACCGTCAGGACCAGGGGAACCCCAGACGGGGTCCCACCGGGTCCTTCCCAAAGCACTGTGCGGCCAAACCCGGCCACTTCCTGCTCTACATGGCCTTCCTGCCTCCCACCCAGCTATGGAGCCCCTGGGGGCCGTGCCCTCTGCCCCTCAGCTGGCCAGCGGCGGGCACCATCCCCTGCCGTGGGAGTGGCCAGCGTGGGTCTCCCCGCCCGGACGGCACAGCCACCCACCCTGGATGAGCACGCTGAAGTCCTGGTCATCCTCGCCAGCCACGTTGGTGGCCACGCACAGGTAGCGTCCTGAGTCCGAGACACGTGTGGGCTGGATCTGGAGCAGCCGCCCCTCCCCCAGGACCTGGAGCCGCTGGTCGGGGGTCACGGGCTGTGAGAGGGGGTGGGGGGGTGGTAACGAGGTGGGGGCAGGGAGGAGAGGGGAGAAGAGATCAGCAAGAAAGAAGTTAAGCCATAACTTCTAAAAAGGGCACAAGGTCGTGGAGCTGTGCTGACAACTTTGGAAAACCAAATCCACGTGACTTCAGACTTGGAAGAGAATTGGGTAAAAAAACAAACAAACAAACAGAAACTCAAGCAGCTTAAGCCGGTGGCTCATGCCTGTCATCCTAGCTACTCAGGAGCCCAAGACCTGGAGGATCATGGTTCAAAACCAGTTGAGACAGAATACTACATGAGACTTCATCTCCAATTAACTAGCAAAAGGTTGGGCTGGAGACATGGATCAAGTGGTAGAGTACCAGCGGAACATGCTAGCGAAGTGAACCTGAGGTCCTGAATTTAAACTCTAGCATGTTTATTTATTTATTTTTTTTGGGTCCGGTTGTGGGGCCTGAACTCTGGGCCAGGGTGCTGTCCCTCAGCTCTTCAGCTCAAGGCTAGCGCTCTACCACTTGAGCCACAGCGCCACTTCCAGTTATTTTCTTTTTTGCTTATGTGGTGCTGAGGAATCGAACCCAGGGCCTCATGCATGCAAGGCAAGCACTCTACCACTGAGCTACCTTCCCAGCCCCTCTAGCATGTTTAAAATATATATATATATATATATATATATATACATATATATATGCACACACAGTTTAATGTTTGTGCTTAGCAGAGATGGATTTATTTTTGAAAATAATAAAGGATAGGCTGGGTGTCGGTGGCTCAGGCCTGTCATCCTAGCCGCTCAGGAGGCTGAGATCTGAGGATCGCAGTTGAAAGCCAGCCTGGGCTGGAAAGTCCCTGTGAGACTCGTATCTCTGATTAACCATTCAAAAACCAGAAGTGGCGCTGTGGCTCAAGTGGTAGAGCGCTCGCCTAGAGTGAAGGAGCTCAGGGACAGTGCCAGGCCCAGAGTTCTGGCCCCACGACTGACAACAGACAGACAGACACACAGACAGATGTGGATGGAGAGATGATGAAGGCGGGCGGGCATGCCGGGGCGGGGCGGGGCGGCACTCACCCGGCCGTCCTTGTACCAGCTGACGGCGGGCAGGGGCACGCCCGCGCACTCGCACTCCAGCGCCAGGCTGCTGTTCACCTTGGTCTTCACCTCCTTCACGCCCGCCTGCCCCAAGGGGTCGTCTTTGGAGATGGAGGGCGGAACTGGAACGCACACGGGGGTCTGAGGAGCCGCTGGGGTGAGGGGGGGCTCGGGGGGGGGCGGAGGACGCTCAGAGGTGAGGGTGGTTTGCTTGGGCGGATCTGGGGCGGGGCTCCCCGGGCTGAGGGCTTGCCCCGGAAGTGGCGGAAGACAGCAGGGGGGGTGGGGGGAGGGGAGGACTGTGGGTTTCCATGGTAACTGCATCCAGTCCATACCCTCATCCCCGTGATGATGCGTGATGCCCGCCCTGGCCAGGAAGGCAGGCAGGGTCTCGGCGGGGCTGCGGCTCCGGCTGTTTCCCGGGCCCTGACTCACTGAGGACTTCCACGTGGTAATTCTTCACGGCCTCTCCGAGCTCGTTAGTGACCACACAGGTGTACTGGCCGGCGTCCTCCTTCTGGACGTTCAGGATTTGCAGCCCGTGGGTGCCTGGGAGGGGAAGGGGGTGGGCAGCAGGCCAGGGTCACCCTGAGCTGCGGGCTCACCCTGACACTGCGTCCCCAGCCTCCCCCCACGCCCCCCCCCACTGCCCAGCCCGCCCGTCACCTGGCAGCAGGTGGATGTTGCTCGAGGCCTCAAAAGGGGCCCCGTCCTTCATCCAGGTGATGCTGGGGGAGGGGAAGGCCAGCGCCTCGCAGATCAGGGAGAGGGGGCTGTTGACGGTGACTGTCACCTCTTCCTCGGGACTGTCCTCAGTCACTCCCCGGATGCTGGGGGCCACTGGGGGGGAGGGGACACCAGTGAGCGCAGGCCCTGGGCCCTGGGCCCAGCACCCTGGGGCCAAGCCTCGGTGCAACTGATCTCTGTGTTATCCGGAGGAGAAACTGAGGCACCGTGGAAGCCAGGCATGGCGGCACGGCTAGGTCTGGACTTGGGTTTGGATGTCCAGAGCCGCAGCTTTCTACCGTCAAGCAGCAAGCACTGCAGGGGAAGCCAAAGCATTTCCCACCGTCGCCAGGGTGCCTCGGCGCCTGCTCCCAGACGCGGAGCCTTGTGGCTCTGTTGGGCTTCTCGTTAGTGAGCCAGAGGAAGCCTGAGTGGGTCCCCCGCTTCCTTCTCAGCCCGTGGGAACCCTTTGCTCTGGCCTAGTGTGGAGGGCTTGGAACCCGCTGGTGGCTGCGTCAGAAGGGCTCTGTCATCCATCCGTCATCAGTTGAACTAGCCAAATCCACTGATGGACTGATTCCTAATTGGGTGGCACTATTGGAAAGTTCTGGGATCACTTGTGCCAGTACTGGGGCTTGAACTCAGGGCCTCATACTCTTGCTTAGCTTTGTGCTCAAGGCTGATGCTCTGCCCTCATGAGCCCCAGCTCTCCTTCCAAGGTCTTGGAAAGTTCTGGAGGAAGAGGCTCACTGGGGGAAGTGGGGTGGTGGTGGTTCACATTCCCGGGGGCTATGTTTTGTTCTGGGTCCCCTCTTCCCTGACCCCACAGAGCCCAATGACGGGGAACAGAAGCCCCTGGAAGCATGGGCCAGCAGCTTCCTCTGGAGTTTTGTTACTGCAGTGGAGGGTGATCTGAGGATTTCCCTAAACCCGCGCCCCCAGAGCATGGGCCATGGCCCCCTAGGACAGGAGAGACACCACCTTGGGCCCTGGCATGAGCCACATCCCCTCTGGAAGCCTCAAAGCTCTGCCGGCGACAAACACCTGTTCCACAGAACTCGTGAGACATAGTTAGTTGAGCTATTATTAATGTCCTGGCTATACTTGGAGAGGTCCACGGAGGGCAGGGGTGTGCTCCATGGGGAGTCCCCCCTCCTGCCAGCACCAGGGTGGGCAGGGCATGCCCCAGAGCTCACCTAGGACACGGAGCTGGACATGCCTGGTCTTCTCCCCCACGGCGTTGGCAGCGATGCAGGAGTAGTGGCCAGCACTGGACAGGTTGGCCTGGAGGACCTCTAGGAGGGCTCCGTCTGGGGAGAAGAGATGGGCATCTCCACCAGCCAGGGGACGGCCATCTTTGAACCACGTGATCTTGGGCAGTGGGCGGCCTGTTGGGCAAAGGGGGAGGATGAGGCCATTCGGCAGGTGGTGGCCAGGTGGACGCAGAGCTCAGCGGCTGCTCCCGCCTCTGGCTGCGATCTCATCCCAGAGCACAGCAAGAAGCAGACATGGACCCTGGGCTGGACCTCTGGTGTTTGATTGCCTTTTCCCTCCTGGGGCGTGGCAGAGATGGCTTGGTGCAGACAGGAAAACAGAGTTGCAAATTAATCCTTCCATCTATTCACATACCCACAAATGCATTCATTCATTATCCATCCATCCATCCACCAAACATCATCCATGTCCTATCCACCGTCATCTATCCATCCATCCATCCATCCATCCACCCATCATCATCCATCCACCGTCATCCATCCATCCATCCATCCATCATCATTCATCCATCCATCCACTCATCCATCATCCATATCCCATCCACCATCATCCATCCATCCACCCATCATCCATCCATCCATCCATCAACCCACCTATCATCATCCCTCCATCCATCCACCCATCCATCATCATCCATCCACTGTCATCCATCCATCCATCCACCAAACATCATCCATGTCCCATCCACCATCATCCATCCACCCATTCATCATCATCCATCCACCATCATCCATCCACCCATTCATCATCATCCATCCTCCATCCACCATCATCCATCCATCTACCCATCCGTCATCATCCATCCATCCATCCACCATCCATCCATCCATCCACCACCATCCATCCATTTATCCATTTGTTCTTCTACCAATCACCATCTATTCATCATCCAATCATTATCAATGAGTCCACCCACCATCCATCCATTCACCACCCATCCACCATTCACCCACCATTTATCCATCCATCTACCATCCACTCATCTATCCATCCATCCACTATCCATTCACCACCCACCCATCTACCAACCACCATCCATCCATCATCCATCCACTATCCATCCATTCACAATCCATCATCCACCATTATTTTCATCAATCCATCAGTTCTCCATCCACTGATACACCATCCATCTGTCCATTTATCGATCTACCCACCATCCACATGTCCTCCCAGCACTACCCATCATCCATCCATTCACCCATCCACCAACCACCATCCATCCACCAACCATCATCCATCCATGCACCCATCCACCAACCACCATCCGTCCACTACCCATCATCCATCCATGCACCCATCCACCAACCACCATCCATCCATGCACCCATCCACCAACCACCATCCGTCCACTACCCATCGTCCATCCATGCACCCATCCACCAACCACCATCCGTCCACCTACCCATCATCCATCCATGCACCCATCCACCAACCACCATCCATCCATGCACCCATCCACCAACCATGCACCCATCCACCAACCACCATCCATCCATGCACCCATCCACCAACCACCATCCGTCCATGCACCCATCATCCATCCATGCACCCATCCACCAACCACCATCCGTCCACTACCCATCATCCATCCATGCACCCATCCACCAACCACCATCCATCCACCTACCCATCGTCCATCCATGCACCCATCCACCAACATTTTTCACCAGTCCATTGATCCACCATCCATCCTTGATCCACCATCCATGCATTTATTGATCTGTCCACATCCATATACTTTTCCAAGCACCACCCACCATCTATTTCTCCATCTGTCCATCCATCCACCAACCATCTACGACCACTATCCATCCATTCATCTGCCAACCACCATCCATCCATTTATCCATCCATTTACCAACCACATCATCCATCCACCATCCATCCATTCACCTATTTACCCATCTGTCTACCTGTGTAGCCACGTAGCCACCCATCACCCACTAGCATGAATGGGAAGCTATTCTGCCACTGTGGAAACAATGGTGACCAATGAGCCTGGTCCCCAAGGACCTCAGCAGTCCTCGAAGCCACTGTGGTCCTCCACAGCCAATACTGGGACAGAAAATCCTGGGTCCACAGGGGTACTATGGAGGGAGCTTGCTAGATCTGAGGGGCTAGGCAAGGAGTCTCTGTGGAATGTTCTGGAAGCTGCATTGTGCTCAGGAAAGGAAGGACTAGAGGAGTGTTTGGGACAGAGAGAAGGCAAGTCCAGACGAGCAGAGACCGAGGGTGGGGCCAGGTGTAGGACAGGGAGCAGCAGGCTGGGGTGATGGGGGTCCCCGGCTGTCTTCCCAGCCTGCGCCTGCGCAGCCCTGACCTGTGGCGGTGCACGTGAGCTGAGCCGTCCGTCCCTCCATCACCGTCACCTCCGCCTGCACGTCCTCCTCCTCGAGACTGGGAGGCACTGGGGGAAGCAGAAGACAGACAGCCGCTGGCCAGGGGGATTGGCACCGGCACCGCCGGAAGTGGAGAACCCGGCAATCTCATTTCCCGTGCCTCAGTTTCCCTATCTATCATTTGCTGCCTGGCAAGGGAGGACCCCGGTGCCCCTGAGTCCTGGCCCTGATCAGACAAGGTGGTGTGGTGGTGTGGAGAGAATATATGCCCCTTCCACTGTGGGCTAGTTCCTGCAGTTTCTAGAAAGTTCCGTGGCAGCTTTAGAGTAGAAGTGGTGTGTGTGTGTGTGTGCGTGCGCCCGGGCGTGCGTGCATGCCAATACTCGGGCTTGAACTCAGGGCCAGGGTGCCCTCCCTTAGCTGTTTCACAGAGCAGAGGTGTTAGATGAGGCAAAGGAGACAAAGCTGGGTTTCTCTTCCTCCCCTAACTGCCCAGAAGCTCCCCAGAAAAGGGCAAGGATGTCGGGCGCCCAGGGAGCCGGGGCCGCCGCATACCTAGGACCTCCACGCTGAAGTTCCTCCGCGCTTCCCCGGCGTCACTGCGGGCCAGGCAGGAGTAGAGGCCTCCGTCCGCCTCCTGCACCTCTGCCAGACGCAGCATCCAGCCACCTGGGGAGGAGGGCGCACATGGGCTCCTCAGGGATCTGGCCAGCTCTGCCTGCCCACCACAAAGAGCATTCTAACCAGATCTGTGCGTGTCTGCCTCCCACAGTGTTCTGTTCCTCAAGTGAGGAAATTGAGGCCCAACGGGGTCAGGAAATGGATGGAGCACATGTGTTAGAATCAAGCTGAGGATCCTCATCTAGCATGAACATCCTGCCCACGAATGGCTCTGGGACTGGCTGGAGTTAAAAGGATAGCAACAGGCTACGTAGTTCTGATCTACTTCAGATCCCTGTTCTACTGGCAGGCACAGAGAAGGGCTTTCTTCTCCTAAGCACCGCAGAGGGCGAACTACCTTCCTTCACCCGGGATCAGCCTGGAGAGCACAGGTACACAGCACACATACCATTACTGTTATTTCTACACCCAGGGCAGACATCACTAATGGAATGCCATTCCCTTTTCTGCGGTCTCTGATTCAGAGCTGTACAATGCACCTGGAAAATCCTATCAAGTGTTAGGATTGATGCGTGAGCAAACACATTTGCCGTTCCATGTGGGGTGCAGGGAACAAGATTGAAGCGCCCAAGACATTTAGATGGGATGCTGCCTCAGTTTTCCCATTTGTTTCCCAGCCATAACTATCACAATCCTGTGAGGATAAATACTCAGATTAAATGCTTAGATGAGCAGTCCCAAAAGTATGTTATTGGTTTATGGGATGCTTCAGAGGGGCTAAGAGAACTTGTTTTAGCTGCAGGACTTCTCAGAACTTTTTTTTTTTTTTTTTTTTGGGCGGGGGACTTGAACCCTGGGCCTGGGCGCTGTCCCTCAGCTCTTCAGCTCAAGGCTAGCGCTCTACCACTTCTGGTTTTCTGGTGGTTGATTGGAGGTAAGAATTCTACAGACTTTCCTGCCTAGGCTGGCTTTGAATCTCGATCCTTGGATCTCAGCCTCCTGAGTAGCGAGGATTCCAGGCGTGAGCCATCAGTACCTGGCCTCTCGGAACTTTTACCGTGCAAATGTTCTGTGTGTGTCCAAGAGAGGAGCTTGAATCTAACCGCCCCGCCCCACCCCCAGCATCTCACTGACCAGCATTTTGGGGACCAGCTACTCGAATGTCAGTACACCAGGCTGGTAGCTGAGGGCCAGAGATCATGGACAGGTAAGCTGAACTCCAGAGAGCCGGTCCTGGGTGGGATCTTACCTGCCAGGAGATAGGTGCCCTCCCCCGGGCTGATGGGCACCCCGTCTCGGAACCAGCGGACCTCGGGGGGCGGGATCCCTGTGGCTTCACAGAGCAGAGTCAGGGGGCTGTGTAAGGCGGCAGTGACATTGGCCAGCGGGTCGGAGTCTCCAGTGAGCTCTGGGGGAACTAGAACCAGCAAAAGAGCCATGTCCGGGGTGCAGAGAGGACTGTGGCCTCCTGCCCGTCCCAACCCAAGGACCCACAGCCCTGCAGAAGGATCTGGGCAGCGACAAAACCAGAGGTGCATCCCCCGAGCCTGTGACCCCCCCGCAAGGAGGGAATGCTAGCCACTGGCTGGGTATTGTGGGACCTCTGTTCCCCAAACTCTTCGGAGGGATGCTTGAAGGATTCAATAAGAATATGTGTAAGAGTGCTTAGACCCGTGCCTAGCGTGGAGCAAAAGCCCAGCACTGAGGCTGAAATGGCTACAAAGCTGAGTCCAAATGCACTCCCCAAACTGCGTAGACAGGAAATGACCCCGTCCACACTGGGGTGGGACAGTCTACCACGGGAAGACTGGACAGGGAAGGCTCAGGATGCCAGAGAGGCTGGAGCCTGGTAAGGAACACCCCCCCAACCCAGCCTGCTCATCTCCCTTTACCACATCCCATCTTTACCCTGAAGCTGACTCCAGCCCTGCAGGAGAAGTTCAGAAATGATGGAGAAGGGGAGCTGTTTCACTCACCCAGCCTGGCCCCCAGACTCCTAACCAGCCCCAAGGCCACCTTGCCCCTTCAGGAGGCAGCCCTGACCTTCTTCTATAGTGTGCAGATCCTGAATCTTCCATCACATCACCCAGCTATGCTGAAGCAGACTGCCAGGAACAGAGGCAGAAAAAGTAAATGTGGGAGAAAGGATAGGAAGAAAGGAAAGAGACAGAATGGAGGAGAGAAAAAAAATAAGGAAGGTAGGAGGGTAGAAAAAAGAGAAATGGAGAAGGAGGGAGGAAAAAACAAAGAAGAAAGCAGAAAAAGGAAAGAAAAGTAGGAGAGGGAGGGAGAGATGGGAAAATGAGGAAGCAGGATGGGGAAAATCAGAGATATTTGGGGCTGATTTTAATTTGGAGACCTGTGTTGGTGGTGGCCCTGACAGCAGCTCTCACCTTTGACATGACTCCAGGAAGAACAGGGGTCCCAGGAGTGCAGCCTGAGGACCCTGCCTGGAGATTGAGCCATCCCTGCTCTCCCCAGCCACAAGTCCTAAGGACACTGCCAGGTGATCAAACCATCCCTGCCCTCCCCAGCCACGGGTCCTAAGGACCCTGCCTGGCGATCGAGCCATCCCTGCCCTCCCGGCCATGGGTCCTCACCTAGCACAGAGAGCTTGAACCTCCTCTCAGCCCTGCCAGCCACATTCTCGGTCACACAAAGGTAGTGCCCAGCGTGCGCCTCTTGTGCATGTTCTACATGCAGGCTCTGGCCCTGGTTCCGCAGCCACAGGCCAGGTTTGGCCTTTATAGGGTGGCCATCCTTCTCCCATGCCACTGTGGGCAGGGGCCTTCCTGTGGCATTGCATTCCAGGATGGCTTCCTTGTCTCGGGCCACAGAGACCTGCGTATAGGGCTCCTCGGTGTCAGCGATCTGGGGAGGGACTGGGGGTGGCGAGAAGCAAGTTAGGGAAAGTAGCCAGGGTCACCAGAGCCAAGTTCTGGCCAGCACAAGTCACTGGATAGCTACACGGCCACTCAGGCCTGGGTTGTCCCTTGCTCTCATTGGCTGTGAGCTCAGTCAGGTCACCTCATCTTCTCTGTGCCTTTGACCCCCTAGGATGGGAACAGAACAGCACCCTGGTCTCTCCTCTTTGACCCTGGGGGTCCAGGTAGGTCTGCCCTTGGGGAGCAGCCCCCAGCATGCCCTTCCAGCTTTGTGTGTATTTTCTTTCTCAAAACCATAGGCTTAGCCGGTGCTAGTGGCTCATGCCTGTAATTCTAGCTACTCAGAAGGTTGAGATTGAGGATTGAAGTTCAAGCCAGCCAGAGGAGACAAATCCAAGAGATGATTATTTCCAATTAATTTGTTAAAAAAAAAAGGAGCCAGGACTGAAGGTGTGGATCAAGTAGTAAAGCATCAGCCTCAAGCAGAAAAAGTTGAGTACTAGGCCCAGAGGTCAAACCCCAGTAATGGCATACTCCCCCACCCAGCCCCTCAAGAGCAAGAAGAAATAAGACAGGCTTCTGAGAGCCAAAATGGCTGCTGGGACTGGTGGGGGGTAGAGGCTCCTCTGTGGGGGGGGGGTCTCTCCTAAGCAGCTGCCTGGTGCTCTTCTGGGATTTCTTTTCTTTCTTTTTTTGTTGGACATGGGGCCTGAACTCTGGGCCTGGGCGCTGTCCCTGAGCTCTTCAGCTCAAGGCTAGCACTCTACCACTTGAGCCACAGCACCACTTCCAGCTTTTTCTGTGTATGTGGTGCTGAGGAATCGAACCCAGGGCCTCATGCATGCAAGTTAGGCCCTCTACCACTGAGCCATCTTCTTCCCAGGCCCCTGGGATTTATTTTCTAGCATGCTTTTCATAGACCCCAAAGTTTAACTTCATCAGCACCAGAAAAACACAAGGCAGTTTAAGATTCTGTGACCTGGAGGAGCTGCATCAGCAACCTACACTGCTTTCATGTTTTCAAGCACAACAAGAGGAGGTTTCTCCCCAGGGCTGTGGGAGGCGGGCGGGAGGTAGATGGGGGTCCTGCGACCCCATCGACCGCTCACCCTGGTGGAACCACCCTGCAGGCAGAGGGGCCGCCCTGCCTGGGAGGGGCAGGGATTGCCTAGCTCCCCACAGCCTTCCCCTGCCCGGCCAGGCCCCAGCGTGGCTCACCGTGCACCTCCAGCTTCTGGTCCTCCCTTCCGGTCCCCGCCGCGTTCCTGCATTCGCAGGTGTACGTCCCCTCGTGGGCTGGCCGCGCCAGGTCCAGGTACAGCATCCGCCCCACGGCCAGCACGGACTCCAGGCCGGGCCCCTCCCCGGGCAGGAGCTGACCTGGGAAGAGAGAAGAGCCCCACCCAGGGCATGGCGCGGGCCACGGCCCGCCCAGCACCAACAGCTGTTCTTCACCTGCTCATTTCAACTCCTGATTGTCCTCCAGGTGTGAGTCCATGACCCCCTGCCCCCCCCAGACTTGTCTCCATGTCACAACTGCCCACATGTGTCCTGCGGAGTCCCACTCAGGTCTGGGCCTGTCTCATTTCTCCTTGGGAACGACACTGGCACCCAGAGCTGACACCCAGCAAGGGCCGAGGACAGACAGGGACAGCATGACCCCGGATGAGGCCCGGGGGTGGGGATGGGTCTGTTTTGTCCACCACTGGACAGAGCAGGGCCTGCATGGATGTGGGTTACGTGAATTCCAGCTGTTCGCTGAGCATTTACTTTGTTCCTTGGAACTTGGCAGGGACTAAGTGGGGCTCAGACTCCTGGGGGAGCAGCATGGAAGGGCTTGGGTGGGGGGAAGCAGGGGGTGACCACACAGAGGGACCCTGCCGTGTTGGGATCAGGGCAGCTTCCTGGCAGGGCCTCTGAAGTGAGGCCAGGAGGCTGGAGCTCTAGTGGGCCCCCAGGACTGCGAGCCCCCGTGGGCTCTGTGGGGACGGGGGGGGCTGGGCACGCTGGGCAGCGCGGCGGGCGGGCGGAGCTGGCATCCTACCGTCCTTCCTCCAGGAGATCTTGGGGAAGGGGACCCCCTGGCAGTCACAGGTCAGCCTGGCGGGGTGGCCCTCGCTCACAGTCAGGGTGCGTGTCTCCCGCTCCGGGAACACTGGGGGTGCTGAGGCAGAGCGGGGTGAGGCCGTGCCGGCAGGGGCTGCGTGCTGGGGTCCCGCCGGGCGCGCTCCTCCCCAGGGGCCCGGGGGCCTCGCCTCACCCCAGACGTTGAGGTGGAAGTGTTTCTCGGAGTGGCCGGCCTGGTTCAGGGCCTCGCAGGTGTACAGGCCGGCGTCCCCGGGCTCCGCCCTGCCCACCTGGCCCGGAGCAAAGATGACCTGTCAGCCCCGGGAGTGGAGACGGGTCACCCTGCCCAGCGCATGGCCCCAATGCACCCCGTTTAACCTCGCTGAGCCCCCTCCTCCTACCTGGAACAGTGTGTGTGTGTGTGTGTGTGTGTGTGTGTGTGTGTGTGTGTGTGTGTGTGTGTGTGTGTGTACTACAAGGGCAACCTCCCACCACACCAGGAAGTTTCCAGAAGCCAATACCTGCAGTAGGCAGGCCTAGCCCATGAACCTGCCCCCGGCCTATACCCACACCCGGGCCATGCCGGGCTGACCCTGTGCTGGCCAGGACCTTTCCAGGAGCTGTGGAAGGCCAGCATTGCAGACTGGAAGAGAATGTGTGGAGTGGAGGATGGGCGTCTGCCCTGGGCTTTGGTGGTGAACTCTGAGGCTATGCTGTGGCTTTGGGGGGGTCAGCAGGCTGGGCTCAGGGCTGGGAGACCCAGGTTTGGGGGTGGGGGCTCTGACCTGCCCCTGTCCCACAGAGCTAAACAGACGCGCGTTAGAAGCGGGGCCCTGCCCGGACCTCCCTCTAGTTGGAGGCCGGGTCAGTCAGCAGGGTGGCCTCGAACCTCCAGCAGGGTCTTGTCCTCGGACAGCCGGAGGCCGGGCCGAGGCTCCAGGGGCCTCCCGTCCTTCCGCCAGCTCAGCTCGGGAGGGGGCTCGGCGTGGCTCTGGCACTCCAGGGCCACCGACTGGTTGACCACGACAGACATGTTCACCTCTTCTCCGAGGATGCTGGGGGGCACTGTGTGGGAGGCCGGGAGGACATTCTCAGCATGGGGGTGGGGTCCGCAGGGCTGGCCACCCCGGGGCTGCCCGCTGCCCATGGCTGACCGACAGGAGCAACTCCCCGTGATGGAATCAAGAGTTCAGATGAGGCTGTCCCCAGCCTCCAGCCCCCAGCCTTCAGCCCTCAGCCTCCACCTCCTCCCACCTGCATGACCTCACAGTCCAACTCTAAAAGGAGGCTCAAGCTGGGGCGGCTGAACAGA